GAGATTGTTCAATAAAATTCCATAATTTTTAAAGATTCTTTTTAAAATTTAATTTATTTCTTAAAAAATTAATTTATTTTTAGTTTTCAACGTTCATTTCCATAAGCTTTTGAGTTTTAAATTTTCTCCCCCTTCCTCCCCAAGACGGTGTGCAATCTGATATAGGCTATTCATATACATTCCTATTAAACATATTTTCACATTAATCATGTTGTAAGGAAGAATTAGAACCAATAGAAGGAACCAAAAAAAAGAGGAAACAAAACAAAACAGAAGGAAAAAAAAGAGAAAATAGTATGCTTTGATCTGCATTCAAACTCCATAGTTCTTTCTTTGGATATGGGTAGCGTTTTCCATCATGAGACTTTTGGAGATGTCTTAGATCCTTGCATTGCTGAGAAGGGCTAGGTCTATCAAAGTTAGTCATCACATAAAGTGGCTGTTGCTGTGTACAATGTCCTCCTGGTTCTGCTTGCTTCACTCAGCATCAGTCCTTACAAGTCTTTCCAGGTTTTTCTGAAGTCTGCCTGCTCATCATTTCTTACAGCACAATAGTATTCCGTTATATTCATATATCACACCTTGTTTAGTCATTCCCCAAATGATGGGCATCCTCTCAATTTCCACCACAAAAAGATCTGCTATAAATATTTTTGTACATGTGGCTCCTTTTCCCATTTTTATGATCTCTTTGAAATACAACAGTAGAAGTGCTATTGCTAGGTCAAATGGTATGCACATTTTTATAGTCCTTTGGGCATAGTTCCAAATTGCTCTCCAAAATGGTTAGATCAGTTCGCAACTCCACCAACAATGCATTAGCATTCCAATTTTCCCATATTTTCTCCATGTATCATTTTCCTGTTTTGTCATGTTAGCCAATGTGATAGGTGTGATGTGGTACCCCAAAGTTGCTTTGATTTGCATTTCTCTAATCAATAGTGATTTAAAGCATTTTTTCACATGACTATAGATGGCTTTAATTTCTTCATCTGAGAACTGCCTGTTCATATCCTTTGGCTATTTATCAATTAGGGAATGACTTGTATTCTTACAAATTTGACTTAGTTCTCTATATATTTTAGAAATGAGGCCTTTATCAGAGACACTGGTTGTAAAAATTCTTTCCCAGTTTCTGCTTCCCTCCTAATCTTGGTTGCATTGGCTTTGTTTGTACAAAAACTTTTCAATTTAATGTAATCAATATTATCCATTTTGCATTTTATAATGTTCTCTATCTCTTATTTGGGCATGAATTCTTCCATTCTCCATAAATCTGATAGGTAAACTATTCCTTGCTCTCCTAGTTTGCTTATAGTATCAGCCTTTATGTCTAAATTGTGTACCCATTTTGATTTTATTTTGTTATACAGTGTAAGATTTTGGTCTATGCCTTGTTTCTGTCATACTCTTTTCCAGTTTTCCCAGCAGTTTTTGTCAAATAGTGAGTTCTTATCCCAGAAGCTGGGGTCTTTGGGTTTATCAAACAGCAGATTATTACAGTCATTGACTACTGTGTCTTGTGTACCTAACCTATTCCACTCATCCACCACTCTATTTCTTAGCCAATACCAAGTAGTTTTGATGATTGCTAATTTATAATACAATTTGAGATCTGGTATGGCTAGACCACCTTCCCTAGCATTCCTTTTCATTAGTTCCCTTGATATTCTGGACCTTTTATTCTTCCAGATGAATCTTGTTATTATTTTTTCTAGCTCTATAAAATAATTTTTTGGTAGTTTGATTGGTATGGTGCTGAATAAGTAAATTAGCTTAGGTAGAATTTTCATTTTTACTGTATTGGCTCAACCTACCCATGAGCAACTGATGTTTTCCCAATTATTTAGATCTGACTTTATTTGTGTGGAAAGTGTTTTGTAATTGTGTTCATAAAGTTTTTGGGTTTGTTTCTGCAGGTAGACTCCTAAATATTTTATAACATATACAATAATTTTAAATAGAATTTCTTTTTCTATCTCTTGCTGTTGGGCTTTGTTATTAATATATAGAAATGCTGGTGATTTATGTGGGTTTATATAACTTTCTAAGTAATCAAAAGTTCCATACTTTGACCAAAATAGTCCTCTGTTTTCTCCTTTCTTCCTTCCTTTCTTTCTCTTTTTTTTGGGGGGGGGGTAATTGGGGTTAAGTGACTTGCCCAGGGTCACATAGCTCATAAGTGTCGTGTGTCTGAGACTGGATTTGAACTCAGGTCCTTCTGACTTCAGGGCTAGTGCTCTATCCACTGTGCCACCTAGCTGCCCCTAGTCCCTAGTATTCTCAAACTAAACTTTTTTTTAAAAGTAGGTTGGTGTTATAACATTTATTAGAATAATGCTATGAGTTAATAGAAACAGCAAAGAACCAAAGAATTAAAATGCAAGCTATGTAAAATCCCAACTAAAACCCAAATGTGTCTAATGTGTCATTCAGTAGCTAACTAAAAACCCAAGAAAGACAACGCTCTCAATATAATAAAGTACTGCAAAACAATTGGCAATTTTCAGTTATCAAAATTATGGGTTTTGCATTTTGTATCCTTTTCTCAATCAGGAAAAAAATTATTTTTAATGTTATATAACATACATATAAAACAAGATAGAAAAAACATTATAACAATGGCTGTAAATACATTATCTTACATGTTTCTCACGGGCAATAGGTTAGTTATGGTACATATGTAGCATGAAACTACTAGGATAATAAAGAATAGACAAAATACACATCAACTCTACAGTAGCATACAAGTGACACTCCCATCTACCCACTCTTAAAAAAAATTACATAATACTGTCAGAAAAAAGTCTTAAAACTATATATTTTAATAAGAAATAAATTCAAAAAGGATGATAATACTGAGAACCAAGGCATTCAGAGATTTCAAAAGTCATGCTTTTTTTAAGTCGCAAATCAAACTTTACACAGCTTAATAGTTCAGTCTCTGACAGGGAGTCCACCCTTACTCCATTTGGGGTCCTGTAGGCTGCCTTTCTCCTCTTATTGCCTGACCCCCATCTCTCTTGCGGGTATACTCGACCAGGAGTGGCACTCTTTGGAGGAACTTCCCCTGAAAGAATTGTTCTAGATTCCCAAGGTGCCTGCCTTTTGGCTTATTCAATCTGAGAAGTTCCCCCCCTGAAGGTGCTAGAGATGACCCCCTCCTCCACCCCTCCACCCCTCCCCCACTTTAGATTATGAATCCAGGGAGGTAATCTTCTACTTACCTGAGTTTCACCTCTATGGGCATCTTTCCTACAGCTACCATTGTAACATTCAGGGATTTGTTTTGGCAAATTTTCCAATACTTAATTTCTGGGCTTAACCTCTAGGATCCTAAGACCAGTCAACTAAGCCCTACAGGTCCTTTTTAAGTGAATATTCAAAAAATTTATACCCACTCTCCTTTAAAACTGATGAAAATTTAACTCTGATTGTCAGTAACTGACTTAATCCTAAGCAAATTTAAGTGAAAATAACCTTTTCCTTTCCTCTTATCTGTAAAACCAAAATGAGCCTTCTTCTTGGGTAAGAAGAAGGTGGTGTTGTTTCCAGGATGGTCACAGCCTTGACAGCTTACTGGTGAGGTTGGGAATCTCTCCCCTAAGGGTATTGGGTCTAGCCTGAATTATTGCTCCCTCAAGGTGTTATCAGAGCACCAGAGTGGGGAATCACTTCCACAAGCCCTTGCCAATCCAGGATCTGATCACAGGGTACTCAAAATAGGTTCCTCACCCTGCTATGAGCCACTGAAAGTTCTCCCTCAACCACTTTAAGAGATTTCTCTACTGATGACAAAAATTATTTAATTACTCCTTGTTAAAAGAATTTAAAGGCAAAAAAATCTATTTTAAGCCTGCCAACAGGAAGTTTTAAGATTAGCTGGCTGAAAATGAGGACCCAGCAATTCCACTGCTGAATCTCCCTGGTCTTAGCAAAAGGAAAGTAAGAAAACTCTTTTCTTAGGAGAAAAAAAACCAGTAGCCTGTGTATAAAAAGTTAAAATTATGGCCACATAATTTTTATAAAAATAGAATTTGAGTGCTCTGGAGCTTATAAATTTAGACAGATTAGTCACACATTCGTTTGAATTTGTCCCTCTTAGCCTAATCGGGCACCCTTCTTAAAGAAAGGCAGACTCACTAATCTTGAGGAAATTTACCTTAGGCTCAGAGAATTTGGGTGCAGACAGTGAGGGGAGTCCAACCTCCAATGGCTGGTGTCTGTGGGGGAGCCATCAGTGAAAATTCGACCCGGTGTGCACTTTCTTTTTGGGTCCCTTGCAGGGGCCAACCTAAAGAGGCTGAGTTCCACACATCACCATCCCATCTTGGGGTGCCATTAATGAGATGGGGATGAATGAGTGGGGATTAAAATTGTCCAACCTACAATAAAAGAGACTGAGGCAAAGCTCCGAGCCAATAGCACCTTATTAAGGGGTTCATGGTTCCCTCTAATGAAGTAGACCTCAGATCTTCCTTATGATCTGAGATGCCCCCTTCTTCCTGGACCTTGTATTTATAGAGTTTGATACCCAAACATGCAAAAGAGGCATGGTAAAGTATAGAATCTCATTGGTTGATAGACCTTGCCAAAGGGCCAAAAATGACATATTATCAGGAGGGGCACAGATTGGGGAAAGCATGGGGCATCTCCACTGACTAAGCAGTTGTAAGATGGTCACCTGCTGGTGCTGCACAAGAGAGAATGGTCTGGAGATGCAATAATAAATTGGAGGACTTTCCATGTAACTGAGTCATCTCCAGCACACTGGGCTTGGTCACCATGATAAGGAAAAACAAGGGTGGAGGGCCTCTAATTAGCTTCCTATGATTAAGCAAATGAACTTACAATCTGTAGCTCATGGTTCTGGGGCCAAATATACAGAATTTATAATCGCTTCCCCTATAGAATCATATCACATTAATTGATACTGATAGGAATAGAATAAGGGTTCTCACTGAATTAATTCTCACACATCCTACTTTTCCTTCGTTCAGGCACCTTTGGTGAATGTGACACAGAGGCTGATGTCCTGCACTGGTCCCGATATAACAGCTTTCTGCTCTACCAAATGGGAACTTTCACTGCCTTCCTAGAGCTACTGCGCATGGAGACTGAGTGAGAGACCTCTGAGAAAGCTGTTCCTAGGCCCAGGCTCCTCTGCTTTGGGCACAGTGGGGAGGGGAACAGGGTATTCCCCAAAGCACAGCCTGCTGCTTTTCCACCTGTATTCTCCAAAACATACATCAGCTAACCCTGGGGTTCTGTTCTACCCTTAGCCATGGCTGACAGTTTATAGTGGGAGTTCTTAACCTGAAACCCACAGGGTCTATGGATAGACTTCAGGGGTGGAGTGTGTCCATAAACTTGGATGGGGAAAAAAAAATACATCTTCATTTTCACTAATATCTTCTTTTCTTTGTAATTCTTTGCATTTTATTTTTTGTATTTAAAATCATTATTCTGAGGAGGAGTCCATTGGTATGACCAGACTTTGAAGGTATCCATGACACAAAAGAGGTTAAGAACCCTGATCTAGGCCCAATACTGTGCTGGGTACCATGGGAGACATAAGATGGGTAGAGCCAAAATCCATAGTCTCTTCTATCAATGAGATCAAATGATATAATGTATGTAAAGGGCCCTGAAACCTTAACGTGCTAGAAAAAGATGAATTATGGTTATGATTATTATTATTTTATCTTCCCTTGCCAGCTATGGGTTTTCTTTACTCTGAACTAGCCTCTTCATCTTGTGTGTGTGTGTGTGTGTATGTGCATGTGTGTGTGTGTGTGTGAGGCAGAGAGAGAGAGAGAGAGAGAGAGAGAGAGAAACCCAGACATGGCCAGTGAATAGGCCTCTCCTGAGTTCCCATACTGTCTCCTTTCTGCCCATGGCAGCAACAGTCAGGCCTGTAGCAGTGCCCTTCGGAAACCAGCCATCTCCCTGGCAGACAGCACAGAACTCAGGTGAACAGGAATTATGGGTATGTGGTCCTCAGGGCCTCACCTGAAGTCCTAGAGGATGTTATCAGCTTGGGAGCTGAATAGGAGAGGGTTGAACCAGGAGCCAGAACTCTTGGGTTCTAGACTCATTGCAAGCTAGGTAAACTCTTGGGCCATCAGGGAACTAGAGGGAAAAGGTGAACGTTCTAGGGCCTAGTGATAACTCAGATGGATGAGGTCAATAGAGAGGCAGACCCCAGGCTGGGCAAAAGGGGAAGTCAGCAACGGTGGCTTACTACCTTTCCACTATTTTGCCCATTCTCTCCCCTACCTCCAGGCCACTGGGGTATCGCCCTCTGACTGTGGGGTGGAATCACTACTCCTTGGGTGAGGGTTCAGTACCCCCAGCCCTTAGATATGGAGGAAAGTCCCCGAGACCCCCACCTGTGAGACACATAGACTTAGCTCCTTTGGGTCAGCCAGTTTGCATCTCATTCCCCCAAACCACCAGGCCAAAAGCCACATTGTCACAGTCCTCCAACTTATTTTCTCTTCACCCCACAGAGTGCTACTCAGCGTCATGTACCTGCTGGTGGAAAACATTCGCCTGGAATGGGAGACAGACCCTAGTGGATGGAGGGCAGCCCGGGAAACCTTCCGAACAGAGCTGAGTGAGGAGTATGACTTTGGAAGCAGGAAGTGGGATACAGCATTGGCCTTGGCTTGTGGAGGGAGAAGCAGATGGCCATGCTGTCTGAGGCCCCAAACTGCCCTGAGGCTAATGACTCCCTTGCCATGGCTTAATCATGGTGTGATGTTCCTTGTCAGCAGACCTGGCTGCTGTAGAGGGTGCTGAATCTGGTGTTCCAGGCCTGGCTCTGTCATCACTTGTGTGACCCCTATCCTCTCTGGGCCTCAATTTCCTCAACTGTAAAATGAGATGAGTTGGGCTAGGTGACCTCAGAGGTCCCTTCCAACTCTAAATCTATCTTCCTATGACTTACTTGCTATTTCATCTTGAGCAAGTTGTTTAACCTTTCTGTGCCTTGGTTTCCTCAACTGTAAACTAGGGATAGTAACCCCAGCCCTTCCATACCTAATGGGATAGTAATGGGGATGGTTTATGATCTGTGAAATCTTTGAGACAGTCAGTGGGGGCACAGAAGAGGTGGGTTCTGTGAAATTCCATTGAGGTTTTTTAAGAGGGAAAGCACTGATTGCTTCCAACTTATCTATGTTCCCTCCTCGGTGAACACATTCTGAATCGCAGCCATTTCCACGCTAAACAACTACATCCATGCTTTTCAATAGTAAGCCCCCTTCCTGAGTGTGTGTGTGTTAGCACAGGTTAGCCAGGGTTATGTGTGTTAGCAGGGTTGTCAGGGGGAGGCTTCCCCCTGAAGGCTGTGACTCTCAATACCCTCTTCTCCCCAGGCTTCCCAGTGCACAGCGAGGAGCCTTTTGTTCTCTTGCTTTTCTCCATGATCACCAAATTCTGCAGTGGCCTCGCCCCTCACTTCCCCATGAAGAAGGTCCTGCTTCTGCTCTGGAAGGTGGTCCTGGTGAGTCATCCAGCCCACCCTATCTCCTTCCCGCCTCATCAGAGGAGTGTTGGAGCAGTCAATTCTATCAACTCCCTGACTCCCCTTGTCTTTTCCTCTAGGCTTCCTAAGCTTGGGTGGGAAGGGGAGGGGGCACTTTCTCCAAGGAGAGAATTGTCGCAGGATAAACAAAGGCATAACGCTCAGATGGGTCTGTCATAACATGCAGCAGTTCAGAGAATTTAGTCCAAGCTCCTCATTTTTGAAATGAAACTGAGGTTCACAGAGGTTTCCCACAGTAATACAGCCAGTTAGTGACAGGTTTTGGGTCCATTTCCTGCCTCAGTCTCCATTCCAGGGTCCTTTCTGCTACTCAATACTGTCTCTTTTTAGGGATGACAAGTAGAGGAAGAGATACCTTCATGTGTTGTGGTCAGGGGAATCTTTTCTTTATGTAGCATGGAGAGGTGGGTAGAGGAAAGGAGAAAGGGAAGGTTTAGAAATGAATGTAATGTGATGGTTTTTTAAAATTGGGGGAGGGGTCCTAAAAATCGAGCATGCCTGGGGTCTAGTCCTGGCCTCACTGCCAATTCATATTATGTGATCTTGAGCTAGTCACTAAACCTCTTTGAACTTCCAGTACACTTCTTTGTTTTGTTTTGTTTTTTTAGGCAGTTGGGGTTAAGTGACTTGCCCAGGGTCACATAGCTAGTAAGTGTCAAGTGTTTGGTCTGAGGCCAGATTTGAATTCAGGTCCTCCTGACTTCAGGGCCGGTGGTCTATCTACTGCGCCACCTAGCTGCCCCTCCAGTACACTTCTTAAAAAATTAAATTAACTTTTTCAATTAACAAAAATTCACCTTTTTTCCCTTCCATCCCCTCCCCTAATTGAAAAAGAAAAAATCCTCATAACAAGCATGCATAGTCAAGCAAAACAAATTGCTGCGTTGACTCAGGAGTTCTCTATACCAATGAAGTTGTATGTCCAGTCTCTCTCCCTCTAGTGGAAAGAGTATCAGACTTGGAGTCAGGGCAGGTCTAGGTTCAAATTTTGCCTCTGATATTTAATAGCTGTGTGACTGAACATCTCTTAGCCTCAGTTCCCTTATCTGCAGAATAGGGATAATAATGCAATCTTTTGAAGTAGATGCCATTGTCATCCCCATTTTACAGGTGATGAAACTGAGGCTCAGTGAGATTAAGTAATTTGTTCAGGGTCCCATAATTAATACGGAGCAGAGGCAGGATTACAAATGGAGGTCTTCCTGACTTCAAGATCAGACCTGGATCCACTACAGCATGGATGTCATAGGTACTGGGAAGGGATGGAAAAGAATGAATGGTCCCTGTTCTCACAATCATAAGACAACATCAATGAGCATGCTATAATACAGTATAAATAACATGCTATAGGTACCATGACAATGAAATAGATTTTGACGTTGGAGTCAGGAAAGACAGGCTACTACTTCCTATCTGTCTAGTCATGGGTAAGACATGTAACCTCTCTAAGACTTAGTTTTCTCATCTGTAAGATGAGAATGATAATAACTTGTTCAGTCATGTACTGGAAACCCCATTTGGGTTTTTTTTGGCATAGTTACTGGAGTGGTTTGCCGTTTCCTCCTACAGCTTATTTTATAGATGAGGAAACTGAGGCAAACAGGGTTAAGGGACTTGCCCAGGGTCACACACCTAGTAAGTGTCTGAGGCCAGATTTGAATTGAGGAAGAGTTTTCCTGACTCTAGGCCCTGTACTCTATCCGCTGCGCCACCTAGCTGCCCCCATGATAACAGCACCTACTTCAAAAGATTGTATTGAATTATATTAAAGCAGGAATAATATACCTTTAGGGCCCAGTTTCTTGAACTGTTGTGATAATCCAATTAGATAATGTAGAAAAGTATTTTGCAAAGCTTAAAGCACTATGCAAATGTCAATTATTAGTATTGTTATTATTAATTCAGCCTGGCTTTTCTCATTCTAGATCTGCCTTAGGATATTACATACTTTCCCTACCTGGCCACATAAAAGAGCAGATTTTTCAATGGCTGTTCCTATCAGCCAGAGAGACCCATCCTCCATAATCCCACTAAGAGCCTTTCTGGCTTGGTTTAGGATACCTGAATTCTGATCCTTGAAGGGCAGAACCAGGCTTTTATCAGATTATTTCGTGGGGCCTCAGGAGCCCCCATTCTGGCTGGTGTATGTGTCCTTCCCCTGAAACTGTTACAATATCTGAGACAGTAAAATAGCAATTTATTAACCTCTCTCACTTAGCTGTGTGATCTTGGGCACTGTTTCTTCATCTATAAAATGAGATAATAATTTTTTGTACCTCCTATTTCACAGGGCTGTTGTAAGGATAGGGCAGCTATTTGGTGAAATGTTAGAGTACTGAGAGTCAGAAAGACTTCCCTCCCTGAGTTCAAATTCAGCCTCAGACATTTACTGGTTGTGTGATCCTAGGCAAATCACTTAACCCTGTTTGTCTTAGTTTCCTCATCTGTCAAATGAGCTGGAGAAGTAAATGGCAAGCCACTTCAGTATCTTTGCCAAGAAAATCCCAAATGGGGTCATGAAGAGTTAGACATGACTGAAATGATTGAACAAGAAAAATTGTTAGGATGGAATTAGTTAACATACATAAAGTACTATAATAAAAATAATTAGTAGCTAATATTTCTGCGTTTAGTTTTGGTGAAGTTTTTTTTTTTTTTTTTTTGGTTGGGCAATGGGCGTTAAGTGACTTGCCCAGAGTCACACAGCTAGTGTTATGTGTCTGAGGCCTCATTTGAACTCAGGTCCTCCTGAATCCAGGGCCGGTGCTCTATCAACTGTGCCACCTAGCTGTGCCTTGCTTTTAGTTTTACAAAGCATTTTTCTCACATCAGCTTGAAAGAAACAGTGCAAATATTATTATCATCCCCATTTTACGAATAAGGAAACTGAGGCTCAGGGAGTTTAAGGGACTTATCCAAGGAATCCTAGCCATACAAATATAATTTATTAATTTCAGTGTAATTACTAAGTAAGTTTAGTTGTCTGTACTGATGTTCAATGTTGACCTTTTAATAAAACATTTATAAATAATTATAATTTTTAATTATTAATTAGCATCTTAAACCCCAAGTTCCTTAGAACCAAGGTTAATACCCTGGTAATATACCTCTTTCTCTTCTTCCTAGTTCTTGTTGGGTTGTTGACTGAAGAGGCTGAAGTTGTCTTTCTTATATCCCATTGCCCTTCTTTCTTTCTCTCTCTCCTCCTCAGTTTACCCTGGGTGGTTTTGAGATCCTACAGGCCTTGAAGATACAGAAGAGGGCAGAATTTGGCCTGCCCCCGCTGGCAGAGGACAGCATCCAGGTGGTCCGCAGCATGAGGGCCGCTTCACCCCCCTCCTACACCCTGGACCTGGGGGAGTCACAGATGGCACCGCAGTCCTCCAAACAACGAGGCCGCCGGGGGCGGAAGGTGAGTGACTGTCTCTGAATGATGCTGTCTTTGCACAGGTGAACAAAAACCAAACCTGGAAATCCCACCTGAAGCCAAATCCCCATCTTCAGCAGAGAAGGGGGAGAGGATAGCATGATCCTCCTTGACTCAGCCTGGCCTCATCTGTGGAAGTCCCAGGGACTGGGGCCATCTTCTCAGAAGAGTTCTCAGTGTCCCGTTGGGGCAGACAGTTGCTCTAGTGTTTTGACTTGCTCTGGGCTGCCTCCCTTGGGGTTGGTTATGGAGTCCAGACCCTGTAAGGAATGTCCAGCCAGACCCTAGCTGAACACAAACCTTCCTTGGGCTCTTACTGTCCCACCTCCAGAAGTCCTGAGCTTCCATGGGCCTCACAGTGGCTAGATAGGGCTTTGCAAAGCAAACCAGGAAAGAGAGTTTTTAAGGGCCCTGGAGCGCCCGGAGTGGTGCCTCCTACTCTTACCTCTGCTAACCTAGGCTCCCTCTTATGTGTGCATTTGTCTCCCCAAGAGTCCACCCTGGGCCCCCGAGGCCAGCTACATTTGGCCAAGAATGGAAGAAGTTCCAACATTTATCAATAAAATAGCAGAAGGCCGAAAAGGGGTGTGTGTATCTTGTAGAGGGAGTGGACGCTCCAAGACGCAGCATCCCTTTTGGGACTCTAGGCTGTCCGTGGCAAGCACTGTCCTTTATGACTGAAGATGATGCTACTCCAACTTACTTGCTTAGAGGGGTCCACCCCACCCCACTTATTGGGGAAGTGTTTTAGAGTGAGTCATCTGCTCTTCACACCTTGTTTGTTTTCCCTGCAACTAGGAGCATAGATTGCTGGCTCAGGGTTAAGGGAACATAGGGACTATGGATCAGGCCATGGAACTGACCCTTGTGTAACTCAAAGCTGTTTTGCAGATTGAAACCCACTCAGCTAACTGGCTGGAACAGATAATAATTTGAATACTCACATTAGGAAAGAATGTCTTTTACTCCACATGCCTTGCCTCCCTGCCCTGAATCCCTCAAAAAAAAGCAATGCTGGGCATTGTCAAAGCTAACTAGAAATGACTTTTGGACCCTCCATTGTCATGGGGTGGGTAGAAGGGGCTTGCGTCTCTGCCATTTGCCCCTCTTCTGTTAGTGGGACCAATTGGGAGTTTCCTGTATTGGGACAGAGCTAAGGGGGTAGGGAATGGGAAACAGGACCCTTGGAAAAGAAGAGGGGCTTTGGAAGAGCTGGCATGGACTTAGTCCTTTTCCCTGACCCCCTCTCCTGCTCCTTGCAGCAAGGTCTTAAAGGAGGGGAACAACTGTGAGACAAGCACTGTTCTTTCTGAACCCCCTTCACCTTTGCCTTGGCCCAGCAGCTCCTCACAAAGCAGGACAGCCTGGACATCTACAATGAACGTGATCTCTTCAAGAATGAGGACCCTCCCCCAGAGGAGGAGGAAGAGGCAGGAGAAGGAGAGAACACCCTGGATGGAGAACTTGACCTGCTGGAGCGGGGACCCCTGGTCCCACCTCGACCCTCCCAGACTCCCACCACAGAGCGTGTGACTTTCCCTAAGGGTTTACCGTGGGCCCCCAAGGTCAGGTATGTTTGGCCAGGAAGAGGAGGGAAAGGAATACGCATTTACACAGTGCCTATGTGCCAGGCACGCTGCTAAACATTTTACAAATACTATCCTATTTGATCCTTGCAACAACCCCGTGAGGTAGGTACTATTATTATCTCCATGTTACAATTGAGGAAACTGAGGCAGACAAAGGTTAAATGACTTGCCCAGGGTCACATAGCTACAAAGTGTCTGAGGCTAGATTTGAACGTGGGTCTTCTCCTCCTGACTCTAGGCCCAGAACTCTATCCCCTCCCACAGAAATGAGAAAACTTTCCACAGCAAAATAACAGAAAGCATGTATGGGATATGTCTTCATTGGAGGGAATGCTGTAAGACAAAGTGAGCTTGACTGAGAGATAGGAATTCTGGGTTCTAAGTTTTCTGGAGCTATTGCCTGCCTCTTTCTCTCTTCTCTACTCCCACTCTCTTCCCTACATTTCAGGGCCTGAAGACCTAGGCCCTTAAAGTCTCTCTGCCTTGCACACAGTAAGCACTTAATAAATGTTTATTGGCTGAGTGTGGGACTTTTCCAGAAGGTCTACCCTGAACTCCAAAGGTCAGGTGTGTTTGGTCAGAAATGGGAAAAATTCAAACAAAGCAAGCTCAACAGGGATCCAGAAATTCTGGGTTCTAAAAGCTACCCCCCAACCCTTCATTCCCTCCTCTCCCCACATCTCAGGACCTAGGCCTGTAAGCCCTTGAAGACTTTCTTTTGCAATATGTTCTTTTAATGTGTCTGGTACATAATAAGTTAATGAATAAATGCTTGTTGACCGGCTGAATGACTTTTCTATCCATCTCTCTGATTTCTTTTCTGTCCCCTCAGACAGAAGGACATTGAGCACTTCTTGGAGATCAGTAGGAACAAATTCATCGGCTTCACCCTGGGGCAGTAAGTGGCTTTGCAATCTAGAGGTGGGAGGACAGGTGGAGAGGGGCGATGGGGTATGTGAGAGTGTGTGGTGAGTTCTTGACATAAAGAACAGAGGAAATTAGAAAGTGCTGCCTGACAGTCATGGACTTATAGGACGTAAGAATTGGAAGAGCCCTGTCTGACCCCTCTCATTTTGCAGGAAGAGAAACTGAGGCCCGGGGAAGTTTGGGTGCCTGTCTGAGTGAGGTCAGCCAACTAGGCCTTGAACCCAGGCCTTCACAACTCGGTTCCTCTGTACCTCTGAGAAAAGGCTGAATTTGGAGACCTCCTTCTTACCCCTTCCTCCCCCCTACTCCTTCCTTTTCAGAGCAGATGAACATCTCTTAAAGAGTTCTTTCCATAGTAATATCTCAGGGTGAGCTTCTGTCTACTTGGCTGAACTCTGCAAGCTCTGCCACTGACTAGTTATGACCCTGGACAAATCCCACAGCCTCTCAAGAAGGGCCTTCTTGGCCTCATCTTCAAGCTGCATCATCCTATGGTCATAATAATTGAAGTCTATGTAGCCTTTTTAAAAGAGATTTTTGTTGATATCTTTTGTTGGTACATCACCTAGATATTCCCCCTTATATCCCTTCCCTGCCTCCTCCTAGAGAACCATCTCTTGTAAAAAAGAGTTAAAAAAAAAAAAGGAAAAGGAATAAAAATTCAGCAAAACAGAATCTCCAACATATGAAAAGAATCTATGTACTGTTATATGGAACATTATAATACATATCCAACATTATGTGCAATGTTCTATACCTCTGGCCCCCCCCAGATCTATAAAAGGGAGGGAAAGAGTATGGATGGAGCTTCTTTTTTTTTTTTTTAGGCAATTGGGGTTAAATGACTTGCCCTGTGTCACACAGCTAGTAAGTGTCAAGTGTTTGGTCTGAGGCTGAATTTGAACTCAGGTCCTCCTGACTTCAGGGCTGGTGCTCTATCCATTGCCCCCTGGACGGAGCTTCTTAAGGCTCGAGAAGCACTTTGCTCATGACAACCTGAGGAGGGTACAAATGTCATTATCTCCATTTTACAGAGGTGGAAACCAACACAATACAAGAAGCATTGACTAAGAGCCTACTATGTGCCCAGGCACTGTGTGAGATAAAAATGACATTGACCCTCCTCTCAGGGAGCTTGCATTCTTTTGGAAGCTTAAGGTATTTGGCAAGGCAGCCAGGTGGTGCGATAGATAGACAGCAAGACATTTAACCTCTGCCTCAGTTTCCTCATATGTAAAATGAGAATAATAACAGCACCCATCTCATAGGGTTGTCATGGGGATCAAATGAGATAACATCTATGAAGTGCTTAGCACAGTGTCTAACACGTAGTAAGTGCTAAATAAATATTATTATTACTAGCCCACAGTCACACAACTACTAAGTGTCAGAGCTGGGACTTGGAACCCATTCTTCTGATTCCAAATCCAGTATTTCTACCTACTGCACCTCCTCTTATGATCCCTGGTGCTGCCAGATTCCACCTGGTAAACAGATCAGATTTCTTATCCTGTACCACTGTAATTCCAAAGATAGGTCCCCCTATTGGACTAGAGTGTCCTTGCTTCTGAGGTTCCCAAAGAAGACAGAGGACCTGAGTCATGGGGACCTTTTTTCACATGGGAATGATGATGTAGAGTTGACCTTTCTAGCTAGATCCTAAGCGTGTCTTGTTCCCCTCCCCCCAAACACATTTACCCATCCCCTCAATGTCTTTTGTTTCCTTTGGCCACAACAGGGTCTTTGGAAGCTATGGGTTGTCTGAGATGATGAGAGAAGGAAGGAAGGGCCTGTGGCTCATGGGCAGAAAGCAAGCTGGATTTTTCTTTGTGATTCTGGGCGAGACCTTTAATCTGGGTGTCTTGGGCATTTTTGCCTCTTGTAGGGACACAGACACCTTGGTGGGATTGCCAAGGCCCATTCATGAAAGTGTGAAGACCTTGAAGCAGGTAACCAAGATTAGTGTACCAGGGTGGGGAAATTGACTTGTTCATCAGGGATGTCTCAGAATTCTAACATCTCACTCTGACCATTTGCCCAAGAAGATGAGATCGTGGCTCCCTAGGATCCTATTAACATTGTCCTTTTGAGGACAATCCAACATGAAGAAAATTTTCCTTTTTTCCCTTCTTTCTCCTTTATTTCTTCTCCTTTCATTCCTTCCTTTATATCTCCATCTCTTTAAATCAGTTCAATAACTGAAAGGAAAACCTAATTACTACCTGGGCAGCCTTGGGCAAGTTCCTTACAAGGCCTCAGTGTCCTCATCTATAGAATGGATTGGATTTGATGACCTTTGACAGGTCCTTTCCAACTCTAAATCTATGATCGTATCATCTGTGTAAGGCCAGGCTGTGGTTAGCCATTGCTTGGGACCACACATAGACAAACACCTTGGCCTCGTGCCAGTCCTGGTTGTGAACAGCATATTAAGAGTGCCCAAACCCTCTGCTATGAAAGCAGACCTCTCAAGCCTATGGCTCTAGGACAAGTGGATGCTCTATACTTTTCCTATGTTTTGGTTGAACAGTGTTTGTGCTCTGGAGTACATCCCAGATAGTGGGTAAACTTTGCTCTCCACCATCATGGCAAACCATTTTGGTCTCCTTCTCCCTGTCTCCCCAGCACAAGTACATCTCCATCTCTGACGTTCAGATCAAGAATGAGGAGGAGCTGGAGAAGTGTCCCATGTCCCTGGTGAGACAAGAGGCCTGGTGGTTGTGGGGAAGGCAGAAGGAAGACGCAGATGGGGCTCTGGAATTCTGTACAGGCTCAGTGCTGTGAAGAAAGCACAACCAGAATGTGGGGGAGAGAGAAGACACCCGCTCTCCTCATCCTTCAAGAGCCTTGTTTGCCAAGGCCCTGGTAGCGCCTTTGTTGCCCTTGGTACAGAGAATGAACCTGGTTTGAGTCTCAAGAGCTGTGTCCACAGGGCCTGGGAGTCCTGCCTCGGGGGAAGGGATGGGTGTAGGATAGGCCCCATTGTGGCCTCTCACTCCCATCTCTCCTCTATTTCCCATCCCTCATGCTATAAAAATGAAAGCTTCATATAGGGCAGCAAATATTGTCACTGAGAGCAAAAATGTCGGAGCAGTTGTATACTTTTGGCCAGGTAAGGAAAGGGGAATACACTTTTCTACACTGTCTTTCCTGCTTTTCTCCTCCTCCCCCAAAGGCTGTCATATGGACGTATATCTGTCTCTTCTTCCTCTCTCTTTCCTTTCATCCATCCCCATTCTCTCCTCCTCCTCCTCCTCCTCCAGTTCTCTCTTTCTTCAGCCAGGTCCTTCTCTTCCTGTTCCTCTGCTTCTCCTCCCTTTAGCTCTGACAGCGTAAGATAGCTTTGGGGGTTCCGTCCTCATCATCGTGCGTCATGGTCTTGCCTGGGGCTCTGTGCTGAGCTCAGGTATACCCAGCCCACGGCACATCCCTTTCTGTGTCTAATGAAGCCTTGGCAGGAGCCTAGGCCGACTAACTCCTGGCTCCCTGGCTCTAATCCTCCTGGGCTTCAGCGTATGGATGCTGCATTGTTCTCCCCACCTGGAAAACAGCGAGAAGAATTCTGGGCCACCAGACAGGAGGATGGGAGGAATAGAGCCAAGGAACATTTGTGCTATAAAGAATCCTAGAAATTCTCTTCATTTTGCAGATTTGAAAAATGAGGCCCAGAGAGCTTAAGAGGCCAATGGTAACACAGCTCATGAGAGCCAGCTGGGATCTGAACACACGTTTCTTATCTGCCCGCCCCACCCATTTCCGTGCTCTTTTAGCGTGAAGCCATACTGCCTATCCTAAATTAGCCAGGAAGAAGCCCCTGGCAAATAGAAGGTGAGTGGTCTAGATATGCTGAGTAATCTTTCTGCTTCCTGGCACAGGGAGAAGAGGAGGTGCAGCAGACCCCGTGTGAAATCCTTTACCAGGCCATGCTGTATAATCTCCCACAGTACATGGTAGGTTAAGCAGTGTCCCCCTCACCCAGACCCTGGCCTCACTCCTCTGTCCTGGGAAGGAGACATAGGTACCATTCAGGGCTGACTTCTCATTTAGGGCCTTCCAGGACAATACCGCTCTGCTCCGAAGGCTTCCCTGAACAGTTGAGTCATTCAGTTTTGGGGTTTTTTTTGGGGGGGGGAGGCAATCATGAGTTGTTCACAGTTATGTGCTCTCCTGTAATCTGGATTTGTTACCCTAGTGCTTTGTGAAGAGGGGGAGAAGGATAAATCCCTTTGGGAGGAAGAGAGCTATGGTTACTCTGCCCCACTGAGGCAGCCTCTAGTCCCTTCTAATGTTTCAGACTCATAGAAGTCCAAACTGTCTGAGCTGGTAGGGACCTTGGGCATCATTTAGTTCAACTTCTTCATTTTACAGATGAGGAAACTGAGGCCCAAGAAGGCTTTGTCCGAGGCCTTACAGCTAGTTGGGGGCACAGTTGGCACAACTCAAACTCGGTTCTTCTGACTGAGAAGCCTTTCCAAATTTATCCAATGGAGTTCGGAAAGACCAGTAGCTTACTTAGCACATGGAAGCACTCCATTGTCCTATGTGAAGGACAAATACCAACGGCAATGAAGTGCTTCCGTGTACTAAGTAAGCTACTGGTATTTCTGAACCCCAGACACCCTGGGACTCTTCAGCAGGGTGACACAGCTGGTCAGAATTCAGAGGAAGAAAGAGATGGAAACTAGAGGGTAGAATAAAGATACATAAATAGAATAAAGATACAAAAAGACATAGAAACACTAGATGGAAACAGGGCTATTTTCTTTACCCATCTGATTCCTGTGGTATATTCCCTGTGTCCCTCAATTCTCCTTTCCTTCACCTTGGCAAGAACATCCTTAAAACACAAGGACGTGAATCTTGTGAAGTAGCTAGGTGGCTCAATGGATACAGCGCTGGATCTTAGAGACAGGAAGACCTGAGTTAAAATCCTGCCTGAGACACTGACTAGCTGTGTGACCCTCAGCAAGTCACTGAACCTCTGTCTGCCTCAGTTTCCTCACCTGTAAAATGGGAATAATACTAGTACCCACTCACAGGTTGTTTAGAGGATCAAAAGAAATGATTTGTATAAAGTACTTTGCAAACCTTAAAGGGTTATGTAAATGCTATTTATTATTATTGATTATCCCAATTCCAAATTTAGTTATTACCATAGACAAGTCTATTCTATTTGGAGTTTTCCCCCTTCCAGAGATATTAGTTCTTCAGAACATATAAGATAATATCTACAAAGTGTTTAGCACGGTGCCTGGCACACATTAAGCACTCAATAAATGCTTGTTCCCTTCTCTCTCTTCCTCTGAAGACATAAGAGGAATAAAAATAAGAACAGCTGACAGTTCTTTAGTGCTCCAAGCCTTGCCAAGTATTCTCAACTTTTTCCACTATCTCAGAAACTGACATTCAGAGAAATCAAATGATTGGCCTGCAATCACACCGCTACTAAGTGTTGGAACAAAGACTTTTGTACTGAGGTCTCCTGCCTCCCAGTCCTATGCTGTCTCCCCTGTGCCATGAGAATTCCTAGGGAACCCCCTCCAAATGCAAAACCCCATTAAGAAACCGAAAACTGCTCAGTATCTCTGCTTGAGTTGGAGAGACAGGGAGCTGCCTTGGGTCCTTCCAGCTCTGCATCTCTGGGGGTGGGGCATGGGGAACTTTGTCTTCTCCATTCACAGATTGCTCTGCTGAAGATTCTCTTGGCTGCAGCCCCAACTTCCAAGGCCAAGACAGATTCAATCAACATCCTGGCAGACGTCTTGCCCGAGGAGATGCCGTGAGTGTTCCCCTTGGGCTTGGTATTTGGTACAAGCTGGTTTGTTTTTTTTTTTCAACACAGCAAACACATATTATACCTACTATGTGCAAAGTAAGAAGCAGTGGTAGTGTAGTAGATAGAAGAATGACCTTGGAGTCAGGAAGACATGAGTTCATGGCCTACCTCTGACACACACTGACCATCCAATCCTGGGCAAGTCATTTTTACCTACCTAGGGCCCAGGCAATTCACCAAGACAATAACTTATGAATGTGTTGCTAATCTGCTTCCATGGAGGGAGTTTCAACACAAGGAATTCCTTACAATAATGAATTTACAGGGGAAGGAAGGAAAGGAGGGAGAGAAAGTTATATAAAGATCACTAAGATATGGTGCCTTTCCTCTAGAAGCTCACTGAAGAAATGAGAGGAACACAGAATCATAGAATTTCAGAGGTGGAACCATTTCCTCTAACCAGTAACTGAAAAAAGATTCCTATTATTACTTATCTGAGGGGCAGCTAGGTGGCCCAGTGGATAGAGCACCAAGCCTAGAGTCAGGAAGGACCAGAGTTCAAATCTGGCCTCAGACACTTACTAGCTGTGTGACCCGGGGCAAGTCACTTAACCCTGTTTGCCTCAGTTTCTCATATGTAAAATGAGCTGGAGAAGGAAGTGGCAAATCACTCCAACCTCTTTGCCAAGAAAATCCCAAATGGGGCCACGAAGAGTCAGACACAACTGAAATGAATGAACAACAATAATACTATGTATTTAACAACTCATCCAGCCTTTGCTTAAAGACCTCAAGTGAAGGAGAAGCCGCCCTCCTCAGACAGCACATTCTACTTCTAGGCAGCTTTAATTGGCAGGAAGTCTTCCCTCACGTCAAGCATAAATTTGCCTCCTTACAACTTCTATCATTTGCCCCTGCTTTTGCCAAGTGGAATGAGTGTGATTCCTTTCCCATGTGATAGATGGTTGGTCAGATACTTGAAGATAGCTGCCATGGTTCCCCTGAGTCTTCTCTAGGCTAAGCAACCTTCATTCCTACTGTTGACTTCATATGACATGAACTCAAGGCCCTTCTCTTTCCTGGGACATTCTATCCTTGGGACATTTTAGCTCATCAGTGTCCTTCCCAAAATGTTATGCCTTCGACAGAATGTAAGACTCTACATGTGGTCTGATGCGGGCAGAGTACAGAGGGAGAATCACTTTCTTTCCTAAACTCTTCTCTCTTAATATACGTCTAAGATTGGCTTAACAGACAGCTAGATGGCTCAGTGGATGTAGTGCCAGGCCTGAAGTAAGGGAGACTCATCTTCATGAGATCTGGCCTCAGAGGTTTATTAGCTCTGTGACCCTGGGCAAGTCACTTAACTCGGTTTGCCTCAGTTTCCTCATATGTAAAAGGAGCCGAAGAGGGAAATGACGAACTATTCCAGTATCTTTGCCAAGCAAACCCCAAAAGGGGTCATGAAGAATTGGACAGGACTGAAAAATGACTAAATAACAAAATTGGCTTAGCTTTCTTGGCAGATTGGGGCTGTTGATACAAATAACCTATAAATATAATAACCTCTCACTGTTGATACCAATAACCTATAAATATAACAATAACCTCTCATACTGTTGGTACAAATAGCCTATAAATATAATAATCTCTCATAGTGTTGATACAAACAAACTAAATATAATAACCCCTCTCACTGTTGTTACAAATAACCTATAGTATAATTTAGAATATGATTACAACAATAAACAAGCCATGTTTTACTACATACCAGGCACCCAATAGGGTGCTAGGGATACAAAGCTGAAATTCTGAAACAATCTTTATTTTCAACGAGCTTATATTCTATCAGGAGGAACCTTGTGTACATAAATGAGTTGGTTCAAGGTGAATATATTGGGCAAGAAGACCAGGAAAGACCTCATGGAGAAGGTGGAACTTGAGCTGAGTTTTGAAGCAATGGTATAATGGCAACAGTTGGCCTTCATAGGATGATTTCCTTACAACAATCTTGGCCGAAATAGTGTGCGTATTTCTAACACTTGACAAATAGGGAAACTGAGGCTCAGAGATATTATGTAACTTGCTCACAGCTGCTCTTCTAGAAAACGAAAGGGCCTCTGACCTCATGAATCCACATCCATTATACTCTTCCCATTACGCTACAGTGTGGTAGAAAAGGAGATTATGATAAATCCAAAGGAAGAGAGCCTATTTCTGGCTGGACATATCAGGGAAACTTCATGGAGAAAGTTTTTGAACTGGGTCTTGGAGATGATAAGGATTTCAATGGCAGTGATTAGAAGGGAGAGAATGCCTAGTTTTAAAAACAATTTATGCAAAGTCACAAAGGAAAGCAACTGCAGATATCTTGTATGTACCTAGTTATTTACATATTTTTCCTTATTAGAATGTAGACTCCTTGAGGGCAGGGACTGTGTTTTTGCTTTCTTTGTATCAAGAACCACATCTGTGCAATATTTCACACCTGGAGTTGTCTTCCTGCCTCTAGATTGAGAGGATGAAAGTCATCAATCAACAAATATGGATGAATTTGCTTCTAGGTGCCAGGTATCATGCTAGAACTTGGGATACAGAGACAAACATTAACAACAAGTATCAGCCCACCAGGAGCTTTGTTCTATGGGATCAATATCGATCATTTCAATCTAGTCCATTTAAGAATTATCATGTATCGGAGCAGCCAGGTGGTGCAGTGGATAGAGCTCCAGCCTTGGAGTCAGGAGGACCTGAGTTCAAATTCAACCTCAGACACTTGATACTTACTAGCTGTGTGACCCTGGGCAAGTCACTTAACCCTGATTGCCTCACCAAAAATTAAAAAAAAAAAAAAAGAATTATCATGGACCAAAGTTATCTTTATTTGAATCTTATCCCCTTGTTAGGCAATAAGGTCCATTAGTGCAAGAATTGTATTGGCTATATCTTCCCTTATACCAGGAATTCTCCACCTTAGATCTGTGAATTTTCTTTAAAAAATGTTTTTTGATCATTATATTTCAATATAATTAGTTTCCTTAACAATCTTAAGTATTTTGTTTTATGCTTTTAGAAACAGTATTCTGAGAAGAGGTCCATGAGGCTTAACCAGACTGCCCAAAGAGTCCACAGCACAGAAAAAGTTACAAACCCCTGCCTTGGATACTTTATAGAATGGATGAGCGAATGGAAAGAGCCCTGCCCCCTGATCTTATCTAGTCTTTTAAAAAAAAAAACAACTTTTTTTTCTTGTGTACATAACAGTCATCAACAGACACAAATATTTCAAGATAAAAAGAACAGAATAGAGGATTGAATAAGAAAGTGTGAACTTCTGCCATGTGAAGTACACCACACACACACACACATACACACGCACACGCACACACACACAGTGTCTCAAAAGTTTTACTTGCACTTGTGGGACACCATGTACCTAAAGTTTAACAAGGTGGTAACAAAACTGTTCTATTTGTAGCTCTTTCTGAACTACTTTTTTTCCCCTAGCACTTAAAATGTTTTATTAATGTTCTTTTTTCTTATATCTATCACTTCTACTAACCCTTCTTCTCCCCCTCACTCCCAAATAGAAGCCTCCGCTTGTAACAAATATATATTACAATCCAGCAAAACAATCCCAACACATTGGCTGTATCTGAGAACGCATGGCTCTTTCTCTCTCTCTCCCCCTCATCACCTTTGGGAGGGGATGCTCCATCCTCACACTTTTGAAGTCGCAATTGGTCACGCTTTGACCAGAGGGCTGAGGTCTTCCCGCCCATCTGGCCTTGTGATGCTGTCCCCAGTACATGACACGACTCTGCTAAGCTGGTTTCTGGTTCAGAACCCCAGGCTCAGGCAGCTGGCCTGGCTTCCCAGGATGCTGTCCCCCTCCCAGGGGCTGCCCTCCTTTTGGACAGCGCTGAAGTGCAGGCTACATATCCTGACAGGCCCCTCTCTCCAGGGATGAGGGATTGAGCAGTTCTGAGCTGCATCCGTTGCACCTGTCATCATCACTACCATTCTCTGTTGAAGAACTCAGTGTTGAAGCCCTGGAACAGCAGAGGGCCCACACATAGCCACCCGGGGAATACAGACCTTCCCTTCAGGCTCCTGACTACTTCCTCCAGGATTGACAGCTTGGTATGGCACTGAGGGAAATGTAAAGGGACACCAGGCCACTGGCAACCCAACTGCTGCACTGCTGTCTGAGACTTATTTGGCCCTTCGCTCACAGACACAGCAGAGTGAATTCTACCAAATGTTAGCTGGTTTGACTGACCCCGCCCAAGTATCCTCTTTTCTAACCCAGGAAGGATAGATCATAGATTTAGATCTGGAAGCGACCTTAATATATGAAAAAACTAAGAGCCAGAGACTTAGTGACTGGAGCTGAAGGGACAGCAGAGGTGATTCTCAGTGTAGATGAGGAAACTGAGGCCCAGGGCGGTTAAATAAATTGCTGAAAGTCCTATGTAGTAAGAGCAGAACTGAAATCAGAACCCAGGCTTTCTGACCCACAATGCCACACTCCACTGTATCATGTTGCTGGAATCTATCCCTGGCACACAGCCCCACTGTTTTGCTTTGTCCCCAAACCCATTATTAACACTACCCAAGGGGGAAAGACTAAAACAAAGATCTGAGCTATCTTATATCCCCCCAAAGGTAACCTGGGCCCTCGAGGGAGTCCCACAGTACCCAGGTCATCCTCAGGGGAAAACGGACAGCATACATTGTTTGCCATGAGAGCAGGGACATAGAACCTTGTTTCACGTATATGGGTACATTGAGAGGAGACTAAGCATTCACTCCACCTCTTTCTTTGGGCCTGGGCATGGAATATCCCACAATTTCCTTAAATAGCCAAGGATGGAGATGACAAGAGAATGTGTTCTATTTGACAGGGTCTGAATTGTAACCTTTTGCTAGACTTCGGAGTCAAGAGATCTGGGTTCAACTTCTGCCTCCAGCACTTATTATGTGGGCAATTCTAATTACCTTACCTCTGGACCAGAGTTTCCCTATCTGTAAAATGGGAATAATACTTACTTAACTCAGCCCTAAAGGGCAACTGCAGGGAAAGTACTAGCAAATCTAAAAGCGCTATATTAATGTGGATTATTATTATTTATTATTCTATAGTGTGGAGTTGGCTTTTCCTCAGTGCCATGACTTCCTCGATTCAAATACCTGAGTCCTCAAGACTCACCAGCTAGGTACCACTGCTACATGGGGGAGTTGTCATTTTAATAATCCCTCATGGTTCTATGGTGCTTTACAGTTTACAAAGCACTTTTCTCACAATCACCCTGTGAGTTGTAAACAGTACAAGCATTATTATCCCTATTTTACAAATAAAGAAACTGAGGCTCAAAGAGGTTGTTTGCTGTGCCCGAGGCTACCCAGCTAGTAATTGGCTGAGCCAGGACTGAAGCCTCAGACTTCTGACTCCAAGTCCACAATGCTGCTTCCTCCCCTTCACCCTCTTCCCTTTTCTTCTCTTCCATTCCAGCATCACTGTGCTTCAGAGCATGAAGCTGGGCTTTGATGTGAACAGACACAAAGAGATCATTGTAAAGAGCATCTCTGCCGTGCTGCTCCTGCTGCTGAAGCACTTCAAACTCAACCACATCTACCAGGTGAGCACCCTGGCAGAGACCTGTAGCAATAAAAAGCTTCGAGAAAGAGAAACTGAGGCACAAAGTTTGGAGCTGGGGCTAGCAAACACCAATAAATTGCATCCAAGGCTCCTCAGTAGTCAAGGACACATCTGACAGAACAACTCTTTTAAAGTATTTATGCAGTGACTATAGAGACATATTTTATCCTTGATTGGTTAATGCTACTTATATCAGTTCCTCACCAGATGGACCAACATCCCATAACTAGAGTCTCTGTAAAGTCTCATGGTGGGCAAACATCTTATCACCAGATTAACTCATCTTCTGGGGCAGCTAGGTGGCACAGTGGATAGAGCCATGTACTTGGAGTCAAGAAGACCTGAGTTCAAATCCAGCCTCAGATACTTGACACTTACTAGCTATGTGATCCTGGGCAAGTCACTTAACCCCATTGCCTAGCCCAAAAAACAAACAAACAAAACTCATCTTCCCCCCATGGTCAGCAAAGGCTCACAGATTAGGATTTTTATGGTTGGACTTTAGTCCATAGGGATAGGCAATTTAAATTCTTAGAAATTTTACTAATAGGGCCTATCATACGATCAAGTGTGAATTTGATTCACAAACATTGATTCTGATTAGATATATTTCTCAATCACTAATCATGGAATATCAATTTTTAAATTCTACAATAGGCAATTGAAGTTACAGGCTTGTGGGAGCCCAAATTCACATAGTGAGGGGACCAACCAGCACGTAGTGCATTGATCATAATAAATTGACTAAGTCTTACTAAAATAATATAAAATAAAGTAGGATATCCATTTTCAACTTCATAAGCCTCCTCTCTTCAGAGAGGCCATGACAAGAACTTTGATAAAAACATTCAGCCAAACTGAGTTCTTTCCTTCCCTTAATATCCATTCCTTAATCAGTCAATTAACAAGTCATAAAGAGCCTTCATTAAGTGCTTACTGTGTGCCAGGTATGATGCTAAGAGTTACAAAAAACAAACAAACAAAACCCCAAACTCCAAATAATCCATGTCTTTGGGAGCTTACATTTTAAGGGAGGAAGTAATACATACATAAATCTGTTCAGACAAGATAAATACAGAGTTAAGAAAGGTGTCCTTAAAGAAAAAGGCAATAGCAACTGGAAACATAAGGAGAAGCCTCCTGGAGGATGGTATACTTGAGATGAGGCTTAAAAGAAACCAGGAATTCTGTGAGGTTAAGAGGAAGAGCGTTCTGAGCATGGGGGATAGTGAGTCACATGGGAGGAGTAGCCCACAGGCCAGTCTGGCTGAATTGTAATGTTTGTGGACGGGGGTGTCAAAAGCCAGGGGCTAGGTTAAAAAGGAGCTGCAGATTCCAGAAAAGTTTGTATTTGATCCTACAGGTAAACAGGAATCATTAAAGTTTCTTGAATTGGGGATGGGTCAGTGTGTGGAATGTAGTCAGACCTACACTTTAGGAATAATACATTTGTAACTCAGTAGAAGGATGGATTCAAGTGGGGAGAGACTTTAGGCAGGAAGACCATTTAAATAAGCTATTGCAATTGTCCAGGCAAGAGATGATGAGGCCTGAACTGGGGTGGTGGCTATATGAGTGAAAAGAAGCAAACTAGAAATGATTTCTCTCGGTATGAACAGAGAGCAAACAAGCTTTCCTGGGCCTGTATTAGGACCTTGCCTGATAAACTGGGAAATCGGCCCCTTTTTCCTTTGGGGAATTAGAAGAAAACCGTGGCTGGTAGGGGGAGAGATCTAAGGCCACAGAGGAGATGGGGGTTTTGGGGTGTGTGTGTTGTGTGTGTTGGGTTTGGCTTTCTCAACCCCAGACTATGTAGTATAATTTTTCCCTCAGGGTATCCTGACCCCTTGATGTACCCCAAAGAAATATTCAGGGTGTTGGGAAGTCCTGGGATAACTTGAGTCTTCTTCAGTTTTTGGCCAGAAGAGTAATAAAAATGATCACGGTGGCTGATATTTTATTGAACTTTCAAGTTTACAAACAATTTACATATAAGTATGTTTGAGCCTCATAACTACCCCCTGAGGTAGGTTTTGCTGTTATCTTTAGCTTGCAACAGAGAAATCTGAGGCTCAGAGAATTAGTGGTTTGCCCAAGGTCATGTACTAGAGTAAGTGTCTGAGAAAGGATTCAAACCCAGATCCTTCTGACTTTGAGTCCAGTGTTCTATTTACCAGGTCAGGCTGCTTCTCATGGTAGGGGGAGGAGGTAGTGTGACTCTGAGGGAGCGTATGCAGAGGATGAAGATCTTGGTGTGTTTGTGTATAAGGGGTAACCAAGCATAAAGGAGCCCTGAAATGGGGTCACAAGAAGTTGGATATGACTAACATGAGTGAACAGCAACGAAGTGCAAAGGAAAGAATGCTTGTTCTAGAATCAGACAACTTAAGTTTGAATCCTGGGGCTGACTTTTCCTTTTACCCTGAATGAATGAGAAGGAAACACACATCTACTGTGTTCCAGACATGGAGCTAAGCACTTTTTTTGGGAGGGGGGGTAGGCAATGGGGTTAAGTGACTTGCCCAGGGTCACACGGGTAGTAAGTGTTATGTGTCTGAGGCCGCATTTGAGCTCAGGTCCTCCTGAATCCAGGACTGGTACACTATCCACTGCGCCACCTACCTGCCCCAAGCTAAGCACTTTTTACAGATACCTCATTTGGTCCTCACAATCACCCTGCAAGGAGTTCTTAATTTCTGTTTTACAGTTGAAGAAAGTGAGGCAGAGGTCAAGTGACTAGCCTGGGGTCACACAGCTCGGAAGTGTCTGAAGTGAGATTTTAATTCAGGTCTTCCTGACTCTAGGCCCAGTGTTTTATCCATTGTTCCACCAGCTGCTTCTCTCAAAACAAACTCCCCTGAGCCTTAGCTTTTTTATCTTTGAAATAGGGATAATAATATTTGCAAGACCTACCTCTTGGGGTGGTTGAGAGGAAAGCACCCTCTAGACAGCCAGTCATTTAACAAGGTATTTGGTAAGTGCCTTCTCTATGCCAGGCCCTGTGCTAAGCTGAGGCTACAAAGAAAGGCAAATAGAGCCTCTGTTCTCAAGGAGTTCAAAGTCCAGTGGGGTAGCCAACATGCAAACAGCGATGCATAAACAAGCTTGAGATATAGATGGGCGCAAATAGAAGCTAACCCACTAGTCTTAGGAGGGAGATGCTTGCAGAGGGGGGATCTTAGCTGAGATCTGAAGGAGATCAGGGAAGCATGAAGTGGAGATGAGGAAGGAGAGCTTTCCTGGCATTGTGGACAGTCAGGGAAAACACTGAGTTGGGGGTGTCTATGTAAGGAACAGCAAGCGGATCAGTGTCGCTGGATTGTAGAGTGGACGAGTGTAAGTGTAAGAAAACTGGAAAGGAAGGAGGGAGGAGCCAGGTTATAAAGGGCTTTAGAAGCCAAACAGAATTTTATATTTGATCTTGGAGGAGGTAATAGGGAGTCACTGATGTTTATTAAATTGGAGGGGAGCCAGGTGGGGTGACATGACCGGAAACCTTCACATGTTATGTCCATGTGAGCTACAACTGTTGTATTGTTGGGAGTATGGATGAATTGGTAACTGGATAGGTAGTGACTCCAGTAGGGCATCTCTTTGTATCCTGACAAACTCAGGCATGGCAGGATGGCAGCTCCTTCTTCCCGGGCCCAGTGAGCTTCCCAAGCCCAGTGATAAAAGTCTCCATAGAAGAGAGATGTGGTGGGAAACAACACAGCTATGTCCATCTCTCCTCCTATACGTAACTTAGCAGAGCAGAGACCAAACAACCCAAGCTTCTGCGATCACCACCCTCCCTCTAGAGAGGGGAGGAATTGCTGGTGGCAGGAATCATAGTAACCTGTTGTCTTTCCACTAAGCTTAAGCTGCATCTTCCCCTGTCCAGAGCCAGGGAGGTGACTGTCCTGCTGTACTCTGCCCTCATTGGTCCCAATCTGGATGATCAGCTCTGGGTACCACATTTTAGGAAGGATATTGACCAGCTAGCTGGAGAACATCCAGAGGGTGGTGAGAGGATGGGAGAACATGTCTGACAGGGATCAAAGGAAGGAATTGGGGTTGTTTAGCCTGGAAAAGAGAGGACTTAAAGCGGAGGGGAGGGAGAAGGGAACCTGGTAACTGTCTTCAAGTGTTTTAAAGGGTTATCATGTGAAAAAAGAATTAGGGGCAGCTAAGTGGCACAGTGGATAGAGCACTCGCCCTGGAGTCAGGAGGTCCTGAGTTCAAACCTGGCCTCTGACACTTACTAGCCATGTGGCCCTGGGCAAATCACTTAACCCTGATTGCCTCCAAAATAAACACAAGGAAAGAAGAAGAATTAGACTTTCTCCGTTTAGAGCAGAGGGCAAAGCTGGGAGGAGTAGGCGAAAGCTTCAGAGAAGCAGATTTTAGCCTAATATAAAGAAGAAAGAACTTCTAAAAATTAGAGATGTCCAGAAGAAGGATGGTCTGCCTAGGGATGAAGTGGGTCTCCTTTCACTGGAAGTCTTCAGGCAGAGAATAGAGGGTCATTTATCAGGCATACTTGGGTTAGAATTCATTTTCAGGTATCAGTATGGCCCTTGAGGTCCCTCCCCACTCTGGGAGTCCATGACTGAGCTCACTCCTGCTCTGTCCCTGGCATCAGATCAGGGTGGGGGCTTGCCAATGACACCATCATTTTTTTTTGTTTCAGGGAAGACTTGGAACTTTGACTTATAGCACAATTGGGATTAAGTAATTTATAGAAATGTTCTATATTTTGGAGGATAGGTGACTCAATATAGTATTTGCTAGTAGGAGAACTGCTTTCTAATCTTGGCTCTGTCAATAACTAGCTATGCGACTTTAGACCTCTCTGGGTGTCTGTTTCCTCCTCTGTCGAAAAAGGAAGTTGGATTTGATGATGTCTAAGGTCCCTCTCAGCTTCAACATTCAACAAAGAATGACTATTCCCCTGCCCCCCATCATCCCAAGGAGGGCTACAATATCATTTCCGGTTTGTCTTTTACATCCCTAATATTTATTAGAACAGTGCCTGGTGCACATTGGTTGCTTTGTAAATATTTGTTGATGACATCTGCACCTCCATGACTCTCTGCCCTCAGCAGATCTTTGGGCACTGAGTCTGTCCAGTTTCAGAAGAGTGAAATGAATTTCTGACACTTTTACCATTCCTGGCTCCCTCTTGAGATAATGAGCACACACAGCTCACTCTGTCTGTTTGAGGTTGTGCCTTTGGTCCCTCTGGTTACTGGCAACTGAGCAGCAACCACTGTCTAGGGTGCCCCCTCTCATTCCCTCTATGTTGCTGGCAGTTGTTAGGGCCAGAGTGCAGCTGTCCTGGCTAAATCTGGAATAGTAGGGCCATTGTGGGCCAGACATTTAGTGCTATGAAGGATAGCTCTTCCTAAGGGGGCTCCTTAGCTTCTTTTGGATTAAGAAAAAACACATCACTTCAGAGTTATTTTGGTTTTAAAAAAAAATTTGATGTTTTTTGCGAGCATCTCACTATCAGATCTATCTAGCTACTAAGTCACTTTTCACTTTATGTATGGAGTCCACTTACTACACAGTTGCTGTATAGTAGGGGTTGAAGAACTATAGCCCCGTTTCACAGATTGGGAAATCGATGCCTAGAGAGGAGAACAATTCCAGGACAGGGTAGAAAGTTGAGTTGCCCCAGATGTTGTAGCCCTGAAGGGAAGACATGTAGTCTATCTAGTGTTACAGAGCTAGATTCAGAGTTGGAAGCCCTGGGTTTGAGTATTGTCACTTACTAGTTGTGTGACCCTGGGCAAGTCAAGTTACTTCTCTAAATTTTATTTTCCTCATCACTAAAATGGAAATAGTAATACCTATAGTACTTACCTCCCTGGGTTATTGTGAGGAAAACACTTTATGAATTATAGAGTGCTATTATGAGAAATGAGAAATGGAAACTTGGTGCCATCGATTTCACTGGAAAATAGGAAGGATTTATACATTCCCTCTTTATTTTTCGGTGTGTTTTCTCCCAGTCCTCCTCCGGCCTGCCCATTGGCCAGATTCACACACCACTGCCTTTGATTCTTTTGATACAGTTTGAATATGTATCCCAACACCTGGTGTTTGCCAATTGTATTCCCTTGATCCTGAAATTCTTCAATCAAAATATCTTATCCTACATCACAGCCAAAAACAGGTAACTGAATGAATGGATGAAAAGCTATTGAAGTTTATTGTTGTTCTTAATAATTTAGAATGTTTGATTTATGAAATTGAAAATTATGATTCAAATAATAGATTATAAGTTTGCATTTAGAGTGCTGATTTTAATAACTATTCATAGATTTTAATAATTAATACTGTTTATGAAGCCTACTATGGTCAAAGCACTGTGCTAAATGTTGCAGATACCGATAAAAAAAGACAGTTTCTCCTGTAAGACGCTCCCCTTCTAACAGGGGGAGATAACATAAAGAGGAGGTTTCAGTTGCAAGGCAGATGGTAATGTTCCTTCTTTAGCTTTGTTACCTGTTCTATGGTCTGGGCATCTCGTGTGATAGGTAGTGCCTACTGGACACCCTGGGCAAAATTAGGATGAAGGCAGAGTTTGTGTTTTGTAAATTGAATAGAATTTTCTTTGTCTCTCATTTCCTTGAAACCTACCTTTATTCCAGGCTCCCAGTCCTGGGTGGGCCCTGCTGACTCAGTTAACTAGCTGTCACTTTTGAAAATTGACTTATAGGAATTTAGGTGTTAACCCTTCCCAGACACATTTGTGTTTTAATGGGCCACTTTGAAAGACCAAAAAGCCTTCAGAACTTAAAGAAATGAAACTCTAATGATGAATTTTAAGTATCCTAATAGGCACCTGGGAAGCATTGTTTTTTGGGAGGTGGGGTGGCCTTCTCATAAGACTGACCCTAGAAGAAGGTTGAATAGAAGAATATAGAACTAAAAGTCAAATTAAGAAGGCAGTGCCTTAAATAGGGATGGAAAAAACTGGGTGGATGGATGGCTAGTGGGGGTGTTGGGGTGGGAACTGGAGAACAGTGTTATAGATCTCCTAGCTTTAATTCCAGGTCTGAATGAATACATATGGCTAGGGATTTGTTCATCCCCAAAGCCCAAAGTTTCTGCAGAGGTATGACCCTGTGCATCTGCTCCTTCATGATGTAAAGGAAGACAGTATGACGTAATCATAAGACCTTCTTTTAAATCCTGGCTCCATCGTATACTTTGTTTGTTTGACCTTGAGCAAATGACTTCCTTATTCTAAGACTTGGTTTCCTCATCTGAGAAGTGAGAGAGCTGGATGAAATTATATCTAGGCTGGAAATCCTAGAGCCTTTGAATCATTCCAATGCCTCAGCGAAATGCCTGGACCTGAGGAGCAGGAGAGGCCTAGAAATTCTTTTCTGGTCCTGCTCCTATCATTTTTTCCCCTCTCTGTGGCCAGAGTAGGACCTTAAGGTTAAAAGGCAAGAGCAGCTGCTGTTCAAATGATGTGATCCAAGTGCTTAGTTATGGCAGAAACCTGCTTGCTTCTCACTTGTGAATCATGGGAGTTGTGTGAATGAACATCTATGGGTTTTAAGGAGGTGTTTTTAAAACAAAGGAAGTATTTTAGATCAAAAGGAATAGTTAGAATTAAGCACTGATTACAAGAAAAATGCATGGCTGCCAAGGGAGTGTGGAGGAAGAGGAGGAGGAGAGTCTGGATATCTACCCCTTCTCTTCATAGTGACTAAAATTTCACCCTTAACACCAAAGGCTTTTTGTTTCCTAAGAGTTCTCTAGAAAGGACTTTTTTTCATTAAGGAAAGAACATTGGGGGCAGCTAGGTGGCGCAGTGGATAGAGCACCAGCCTTGAAGTCAGGAGGACCTGAGTTCAAATCCTCAGACCAAACACTTGACACTTACTAGTTGTGCGAACCCGGGCGAGTCACTTAACCCCAATTGCCTAAAAAGGTAAAAAAGAAAAAAGAAAGAACATTGATCCAAATCAAGATCTGAGTCTCGTTCCAGGCTCAACTAATTATTAGTTCTGTGACTTCAAGCAAGCCATAAATTCATAGAATTCTAGGGCAGAAAGGACCTTAGGGCTCACGCACACTGTGTATCACAGCATGAAGAGCAGAAGAGAGCATCTTGTTTGTCAGACTCTGGTGTTGTATACTTTCTGCTTCAAGACTGAAGGAAGTACAACAGCAACAACTTTCCAGTAATTCTCAAGTTTTTTGGCCTGAGTACCCCTTTGCATCCTTAAAAATTGAGGACCCCTCAAAGAGTTTTTGTATACGTGGGTTATACTGTATTAGAATTTAAGACATCTTAGTATGATTATGAAAATAGTTTTGACTTCTCAGACCCTCGAAAGGTTCTTAGGGACCTCAAGGGTCCCCAGAGCACACTTTAAGAACCATCACTTTAGACCATAAGATCATGTAGTCTCCCTCTCTGATCTCACTAGAAGATGAAGATAACGTGGGCCCTACCTACTGTACAAGGGTATTGGGAGGATTAAATGAGATAATGAGAGGGAAAGTGCTTTTGTAGTCTGTAAAATATTTTACTTTATGTAAAGTAGTAGTATTAAAACAGAAATTAGTACAAATGCTCCCTGGGAGAAGTAATATATTAAACCTTTATCAATAGTTAGCAACTTGTGGGGGATGAGGAAGGGAAAGGAGGACAGGTACATAGACAACTTTCTAAATGGATCAGCTCATTGAGATTAAGGCCCTTTGGAATGGGGCATTGGAAGGGTCAGTCTGGGGAAAGAGGAGCTGGAGGAGAAGTGAACAGGAATTTAGGATACTGAATGGAGAGGGCAGTTCTGCGCAGGGCGCTGTGGGCTCTGAAGGGCTATGAATGTGGAGAGATGTGGAGAAGGGCTGGGTGGGTTGGGTCCTAGTTCATTTTTAGGACTTAAACCTTTCTTGGCCCAAGGAAGACTAACTCTACCTCACATCCCTCACTGGTAAGTGGCACCAGCAAGGTGCCTTGAATCGTAGGAAACACTCGGATGTCTGCTTCAGTAAATTGGATTGCCCCTTAGACAAGGGTTTTTGCCTCTCCAAGAAAGAGACTAGGCTGAGGAGCTCAGACTCTAGGCCTCCCCTGTTCTACCCCCTGCTTTTCCAAGACCCCCTGCCCATGTCCAAATGGACTCAATTAGATCAGGGTTTTAAATCTCCTTTTGGAAATGTTTGGCCTTTCCCCCCTTAGATGCCCTCTGAATCCCTGTAATATTTCTGCAGTCACCCAATTTTAGGCCAGAGGAGCTGTATTTTTGTAGTGATGATCAAATGAGATAAGATATGGAAAGTACTTCTAAGTGTTTTAAGCTTTGAAAACCCTAAAGCTCTCTGTACCCTGTTATAATGATGACTATTATTGAAATGTGGGATTAGGTTCATCTGGGAGGACTTTTAGAGGAGGTGAGTTTGTCCCATTGAAGCCACTTGTGACCTCACTGACAACTCACTGGCACACCTTTACTCTCTCTCTCTCTCTCTCTCTCCCTCTCTCTGATTTGGAATGAGTTGCAAGTTGCAGTGGTTTGGTTAAGTCACTTCCACAAGAAGGGGAAATAGCTGTGGGTTTGTGCTGTGACTTTTTTTTTGTAATTGCTTTGATCATAGTTCTTTTTTTTTTCAATTACGTGTAAACAAAAATTTTTAATATTTTTTTAAAAAATGAGTTCCAAATTCTCTTTCTTTACCTTCCCTCCCCCCCTCCTTGAGAAGGCCAGCAATTTGATATAGATTATACATGTGCATTCATACAAGACATTTCCATATTAGCCATATTGCAAAAGAAAATGCAGACCCCCCCCCCCAAAAAAAAAACTCCTAGAATAATTAAGAAAGTTTAAAAAGTATGCTTCAATTTGCATTCAGACTCCGTCAGTTCTTTCTCTGGAGGTAGATAGCATTTTTCATCATAAGTCCTTCAGAACTGTCTTGATCATGGTATGGCTGAGAATAGCTAAATCATTCATCATATAATATCGCTGTGTGCAATGTTCTCTTGGTCCTACTCATTTCACTTTGTATCAGTTCATGTAAGTCTCCCCAGGTTTTTCTGAAACCATCCTGCTTGTCTTATGTAGTAACATTTCAAGAAATCTAAAACCTCTAAGGTGAGATGTCTGCCCTCCCCAATCTAGAGAGGTTTTATCTGCAATGGATTTTTTGAAAGTTGGAAAGACCTTTAGCGGCAGGGAATTCTTAGAAGCCTTTACAAGTACCAAGAGTGGTACTTTTTGGCATTCTCAAATTTGCCATAACTTCTTGGGCAATTATATGTTAAGGATAGCTCCCTTGGGACCTCAGGTTCTGCCTAGAGATAGACCCTCGAGCCCCTTTTGGCATATGGCAAGCCTCCCTTGCTAGACCACATTCAAAGAGGCAGAACCATATTTTTGAATAAGGCATTTGTGATTACTCTTTAGGATAAATCCATTTTTCTGAATGCTCCACTCCTCCCTACAATTTCTGTTCTGTAGGAAACAATATTCTCCATCCTCTCAAACAGAGAAATACAGCTTTTAAGCTTGGAATGTTTCTAATCACGCCACTTCTGGAATTTTCTTAAAATTCATTTTAGGAAGGACATGGATAGGCTGATCAGTATCCAAAGGAAGCTGAACAAGATGGTGGAGGGCCTTGAGACTGTGCCATAGGAAGATTGGTTGAAGGACTTAGAGATGTTTAGCTTGGAAAAGAGAAGTCTTGGGAGATACGATTGTTGTCATTGCTGACTTGTTTCAGCTGTGTCTTACTCTTCAGGACCCCATTTGGGGTTTTCTTGGCAAAGACCCTGTAGTGGTATGCCATTTCTTTCTCATTTTCCAGATAAGGAAACTGAGGCAAACAGGGTTAAGTGACTTGCACAGGGTCACACAACTAGTAAGTGTCTGAGGCCGGATTTGAACTCGGGAAGAGATATGACAGCTGCCTTCAAATATTGGAGAGTTTATGTCTCAGAGACCAAATTGATAGGACTAATAGGTGAAGGATGCAGAAAGGCAAACTTCTGCTTGCTGTAGAGAAAAAATGCCTAACAAGTATATATATATTGAAAAACAGAATGGGCTGCCTTGGGAAGTCTTTAAACAAAGGTCTGATGATCATTTAACGGAATACATTTTAGATAAGATTTTTGTTCAGGTACAGGTTGCACTAGGTGCCTTCTAATGTCCCTTCCACCTTTGAACTATCTCCTACAAGGGCAATTCTAGACAACTAATTCTCTAAGGCTCTAAATTTCAGAGAAGTTACTGTTCTACATTCATACAGAATGTTTCCTACACCAATTAAATCTCAGATCCAACAACAACCAAAAAATAGGATTTCAAGCTGTGAACGACCTTTGAAACTAGACCCATACCTTCATTTTTATAAGTGAGGATACTGAGGCCCAGAAAGAGTGGAGGTGACCTTTCCAAGATGTCACAGGTGTAGCAAAGTGAGAATTTGAACCCAGCTTCTCTGATTTTGGAGTCAGTCCTCTTGCACTCGGGTCATCTGATGCCATCGTACACATGGGGAAGTTTGAGCTGACCCTTGGAGCTGCTCAGATGCAGACATTTCAGATCCGTGGCTAAGTGCAGCCACATGCCCTGAGTCTTCAGCCCTCAGCTATTTCAGTTTCTGACTCATGCATGTTCTACCCCGTGGGCCTCCACCAACCCAATCTTCCATCTGTTTAGGGGACGTATCCTATTACTCTACTTGAACTGCCAGATTGGTCCTGATTCTAAGAAGCCAATCCCTCCTTTATCCCCTTGTCCCCACTCAAAGCTTTTGCTTCAGAGATGGCACAGAAAGAGTGTCTTGGCTTCCTTGGAGTCACACTCAAAAGCTGCTGGCTTTGGAAAGAGCTGCTGTAAGAGGCCCAGGAAAGCATTTATCCTCCCTCAGCCTTCCACACTGGGACGTGCCAGCTATCTGCCTGCAGCCTACCTTTCCAGTCTTCCTGCACATTACTCTCTTTCATGAAGTTTATGTTCTAGCAAACTACTTGCTGTTCCCCAAACTTGGCATAATATCCCACCTCCGTGTCTTTGTACATGCTGTCCCCTATGCCTGGAGTGAACTCCATTCTCCCCTCCACTTCTTAGAATCCCTAGCTTTCTTCGAGCTAGGCTCATGTACCATCTCATATGGGAAGCCTTTCCTGACCTCCTTCATTATTTCGCATTCTCTCCCTTTTCTTCAAGTTATCAGGTACATACATATCTGTTAAAAAGAAGTTGTGGCCTCCCAATAGAATGTAACCTCCTGGAGGGCAAAAACTGTATTTCATTCTCTCTGTATCCTCAGTGCTTTGCACATAGTAGGTCCTTAATAAATACTTATTGAATTGGGTTATTTGGCTTTGGGAAATATCTCTATGAATCTGTCTACACAACTTAAAAAAACCTATCATATATCAGTGGTTTCTAGTCCTCTTTACCCATCCAGGAGAGACTGGTCCTGGAAGTTGTCCTTTTAGGTTCATAGGATGGGGCAAATGGCCATGGCTTGCTGCTGGCCTCTGCCTGTACAATGGGAAGTGCAGAAGGCAATGGGATCCCGGTGGGAGAAGTATCTTTGTGACCTTCTGACTCTTCAACTGGTATGCTTCCTTAATGCTGGTCCTCTTCATTTCTTCTCTTTCTAGCATCTCAGTCCTGGATTATCCCTCCTGTACCATCCACGATTTGCCAGACCTTACTGCTGAAAGCCTGGTAAGGAAAGGGGGGTTTCATAAGCCTTGAAACAGACGTGTTTGAAGAAGGTGGCATTTGCTCCTCATCCCTTCTGTGTCTTAGTGATTGCTCAGTTTTAAAGGTAAAGGTATGCTGGAAAAAGCATGGAGAATAAAACAGTGAGCCAATATTTATATAGTGCTTTAAGATTTGCAAAACACTCAACATGTTTAATTTTCTTTGTTCCTCAAAACCCTTCTGCAATGTAGGTATAATTATGTTATCGTTGTTATTGTTGTTCAGTCATTTCAGTTGTGTCCAACTCTTAATGATCCCATTTGGGGTTTTCTTGGCAAAGATACTGGAGTGGTTTGCCATTTCCTTCTCCAGTTCATTTTATGATGAGGAACTGAGGCCAGCAAGGTTAAGTGACTTTCCCAGGGTCGTACAGCTGAAAATGTCTGAGGCCGGATTTGAACTCATGAAGATGAGTCTTCCTGATTCCAAACCAAGTGCTCTATCCACTGCACGATCCAGCTGCCCTTAGGTATAATTATTATCCACCCCCATTTTACAGATGAGAAAACCAAGGTTGTGAGGTGAAGAAACTTAGCCAGGATCACACAGCCAGTAAGTTTCTGAAGTCCACGTCTTTTCTGACTGCAAGTCTAATGCCATGCTCTCTCAGAGAAGAGCAACATAAGTAGCTAATGAGGCAGAGAAGCTAATTTTGGTGAATGGGGGGGGAAGCATCAGAGAGTTGAATATATCATTTGATTGAGAGATATGTAAGAGAGAGTAAAAGGATCAATGAATAAATGCTATACACTTAATAAATAGAAAGCTATTATGATATAATGGAGAAAGCTTTATGTGGAATCACTAGGCTAGGATCACGATGCCCCTTGTACTGCAGTCCTGGCTCTACCATTTACTAGCTGTGTGCCTTTGGCCAAATCACTTATCCACTCTATGCCAGTTTTCCCATCTATAAAAGGAGAGATTATAATGCCTTTGGTAAATTCCCCTCCCTCCTCTCCAGGGTCTATGAGGAATAAATACATATGGAGGGCTATATGTATGTTTATGCATAAAAGAATATGAAAGTACTATATAAAGATGTCAGTTATAAGATCATGGTGTTTGTCATCTTCATCATTATTTTTTATTACTTCTGAAGATCTGTGGCTTCGTCACTGGTGGGTACTTTTTTTTTTTTAAAACATTTTTATTTAAAGTTTTGAGTTCCAAATTCTATCACTCCCTCCTGTCCCCCCTCCCTTAGATGGTAAGCAATCACATATACGTTATACATGTGCAATTATGTAAAACATTTCCATATTAGTCATTTTGTACATGAAGACTCAAATAAAAGAAGAAATTGAAAGAAAGAAAATGAAAAAAAAAGCATGCTTCAGTCTGTATTCAGTCAGAATCCATTCTTTTCTCTGGAAATGGATAGTATGCTCCATCATTAGTCCTTTGGGATTGTTTTAGAGCATTGTATTGCTGAGAATAGCTAAGTCGTTCACAATTCTTCATCAAACAATATTGCTGTTACTGTGTACAATAGTCTCCTGGTTCTGTTCATTTCACTGTGCATCAGTTCATGTAAGTCTTTCCAGGTTTCTCTGAAATCATCCTACTTGTCATCTTTTTTTTTTAATTACTTAATTTATTTTTAGTTTTCAACATTCACTTCCACAAGATTTTGAGTTCCAGATTTTCTCCCCATCTCCCCCCAGCCCTGCCCCATGATGGCGTGCATTCTGATTACCTCTTCTCCCAATCTGCCCTCCCTTCTATCACTCCCCCCTTCTCTTATCCCCTTCCCCTCCTATTTTCCTGTAGGGTAAGATAGATTTCTGTATCCCATTGCCTGTGTATCTTATTTTCCAGTTACATATAAATTTTTTTTTAACATTCATTTTTAAAACTTTGAGTTCCAAATTCTCTCCCTTCCTCTGTCCCCACCTACTCTCATTGAGAAGACAAACAATTAAATATAGGTTATACATGTGTAGTTCTATAAAACACTTCCATAATAGTTATGTTGTGAAAAACTATATTTCCCTCCATCTGATCCCAACCCCCCGGTTTATTCTATTCTCTCCTTTGACCCTGTCCCTCAAAAGTGTTTGTTTCTGATTACCCCCTCCCGCAATCTGCCCTCCCTTCTATCACCCTTACCTTTCTCATCCCCCTTCCCTGCTACTTTCCTGTAGGGTAAGATACATTTCCATACCCAATTGAATGTGTATGTTATTCCCTCCTTACTGCTTATCATTTCTCATAGCGCAATCATAATTCATTATAATCATGTACCACAGCTTGTTTAGCCATTCCTTAGTTTATTGGTATCCCTTTGATTTCCAATTGTTAGCCACCACAAAAAGAGCTGCTATAAATGTTTTTGTACAAATAGGTCCTTTTCCCTCTTTTTTTGGATTTCTTTGGGATATAGGCCAGTTTTATAGCCCTTTGGGCATAGTTCCAAATTGTTTTCCAGGATGGTTGGATCAATTCATAACTCCACCAACAGTGCCTTAGTGTCCCAATTTTCCCACATCCCCTCTAACATCCAACATTTTCCTTTTTTGTCATAATAGCCACTCTGATAGTTGTAAAGGTGATACCTTAGAGTTGCTTTAATTTGCATTTCTCTGATCAATAGTGATTTAGAGCATTTTTTCATATGACTATAGGTAGCTTTGATTTCTTTGTCTTATAACTGCCTGTTTATATCCTTTTACCATTTGTCAATTGGGGAATGGCTTGTATTTTTATAAATTTGGCTCAGTTCTCTATATATCAGAGATATTTTTTGCCAAAATTTTTTCTCAGTTTTCTGCCTTCCTTATAATTTTGGTTGCATTGGTTTTGTTTGTGCAAAAACTTTTTAATTTTATATAATCAAAATTATCTATTTTACATTTTGTAATGCTCTCTATATCTTCTTTAGTCTTAAGTTCTTTCCTTATCCATAAATCTGACAGATAAACTCTTCCATGCTATCTTAATTTGCTTATGATATCACCCTTTCTGTGTAAATCATGTACACATTTTGACCTTATCTTAGCATATAGTGTGAGATGTTGATCTATACCTAGTTTCTGCCATACTGTTTTCCAGTTTTCCCAGCAGTTTTTGGTCAGATAATGAGTTTTTTGTTCCTAAAGCTAGGATCCTTGGGTTTATCACATACTAGATTACTATGGTCATTTACTATAATGTAATTTGTACCTAATCTGTTCCACTGATCCACCATTCTATTTCTTAGCCAGTACCAGATTGTTTTGATAATAACTGTTTTATAGTACATTTTGAGATCTGGTACGGCTAGAACTGGTGGGTACTTCTGCCAATCAAAACCATCATCCCTTATACTTTAGGAGATTGTCTAATGAGCCACAAAATTTGTCACTTGGTGACTAACCCTCTAGTGACAAATCTCTGCACTTAGTTCAGCAGAATGAATAAAAACCAAAGAGAAGCGTGAGTAAGGGTGAATCATGGAGCTGAATTTGTGCCAACATTTTGGCTGAACAGCAGATAACTTTTCCTGGCTCTGCACTGTTAAGTTGTTATAATATGGTCTTCCTAGAGGACATATGTAAGCCTTTTGCCTTCTAATGTTTAGTGTAAATGATGTGTGCTCTATAGAAAACATTTTGCCCTAAACCTCTTGAGGAAACATTAGCTAAAGTTATTGAGGAAGTGACCTGGGAAGTTATTATTCATACAAATGAACTTGGATTCCCAGCATAGGCAGTCCCTGACTTCAATTCAGTCCAATCTGTGCACCTCGATACTAGGAATACAAAGAACAAAGCAGCCCCTATCCTTAAGTTGCTTACATTCTACCTGGGGTGTGTGGGATCTCAAATTTAAACAGGTAATTCAATTCAGCAAATATGTATTAAGTACCTACTGTGTGTCTACATATTCTCTGTGGGTGTGGGTGGAGGAAACATAGCGCAGGGGAGCTCTTGGTATTAGATAGAAAAAGATAAACATGAATTGGCCTCTACCCTCAAAGGCCTTATATTCTACTGGGCAGAAACAACATGTGCACAGGGAAGGAAATGCAAAATATATTCAAAATAAATACCAAATAATTTAATTCTGCTGGTGGGGGGGAGGGGAGGAACATTAAATGTGAGCATTAACAATCAAGGGCAGGGGAAGTTTCCCATTGGAGGTAACACAGGAACTAAGTTTTGAAGGAAACTAGGGATTCCAAGATGGAGAGATCAGGAGGGCATGTATTCTAGGCATAGGGAATAGTCTATGCAAAAGCATGTAGGCTGGAGATTAAATACTGAATTTGGGAAACAGCAAATGGTCCATTTGGGAAGAACAGTAGTGCTGATGAAAGGGAACAATTTGCAATAAACCTAGAAAGATAGGTTGGAGCCAGAGGAGGAGTTTTTATTTTATCCTAGAGGCTACAGAAAGCACCTTACGAAGAACCTGCATCTAGATCATAAGGGAAAGAGCCCTGACTCTGGATTTGGAGGATCTGTGTTCAAATCCCACCAGTGTTGCTATCTGTGTGGTGGCCTTGGGCATGTCACTGAACATCCCCTGGATATTAGCTTCCTCATCTGTTAAATGCGAGGGAGAGGAGATAGACCAGATGGTCTCACAGGTGGCTTCCAACTCTAGATCTGAGATCCTATAACCCAGAAATGGGATGCTGAGTCCAGAGGGTCTACCTCAACTCCCATGGGAATAACTTCCCCTTGTTCTCCACTTCAGTATACCAGGGACAGGGCTGGGGGTGGGGGTGGGGCGGGGGGAAGGGATGTGAGGGGGTGTGCCTTTGTGTGACCTAGAGAGAAACCTTTTCCTCTGCAAACATAGAAAAGTACCGTCACTTAGGAGATTTCATAAACTCATAGCACGTCAAATCTGGAAAGACTGCAGACATCGCAGCATTGGAAGAGACCTCAGAGGCCATCTAGGCCAACCTGTACCTGAACCTAATTTCTTCAGCACACCCAACACTTTGTCATCTGGCCTTTACCTGGGAGACC